ACTACTGATTTCACTTGTATACTTGTCCTTCCCCCCTTCCTTCTCTGCTCTCACATAGCTGTGTATATTTCCAACACCAGTCTGCTTTTTATTGGTTCTCACGGTCTCTTCACTTGTGGATTTCTTATATTTTTCCTTCTACCCTGAAGATGGAGGCGATACGTTCCTCCGAAACGTCGGTTAACACCACATATACACGGTGCCAAATCCCAGAAGACTGCTTCCTTCATAGTGTCACAAGGTCACTACTGATGTTACTAATTACATATAAATATTTTTCAGAACATATTTATTGCCAATAATTATTACACTTCATAAAGAAGCGAGAACAACATACAACACATGCTTGCTATTACAAGAATTTATGAAGTTTCTTAAATTGCTGAATCTAATTCATACTTGTAATATCTGAAAATGGTATCAAAGGTCACAAAGTGCAAAGAGTGTGTTGGGCTAAAAATGGCCATGCCAATGCCTGGATATAAGGCATTTTGAACAAGTAAATGCAAGACGTTGAAGGGAAATACCAGAAGTTAGTCGTATAATACCCTGACGCTGCTGTTTCAAGTATTCTGCAACACCAAGGACGTGGCAGGGTACACTACAGCTTTGATGGGGGAAAGTGATGTTTGGACATCCATCGTCAATGCGGCAGAGGACAACCAGGAAAACTACTGCATAGCTCTCTCAGGGAAGACGCTGTATGGTGCCCTGTATGGCATGTATACAGTAAATATCAACGAGTTAAAGGCTGTATTGAAGGCCAGCATTTTTTCAGAAGAAAATAATGCAACAAAAGACACAGGGTAAAACCCAACTCAGGAGGAAGGCTTTCAAGAAATTCAGAGGCATCAGTGGTGGTGCACCAAAGGTTTAGAATTCCTTGGGAGGACTAAAGCCATGGAGTTTAATCTTGGTTGGGACACTGGCTAACCTTACTAAGGTTTTTTCCTGTGTTCCTGAGTCCCTCCAGGAGCACACTGGAATAGTATCTTAATTAGGCCATGACCACTTCCTTCCTCATCCCTTTTAATTCATCAGTCATACCATTATATACAGGGTGTCCCAGGAGGAATGTGCCAAACTTCGGAAGGGTGTTCCTTATGTTAAAGTATGCCAGTATAACCCAAAACACCTATGTCCAAAGTTGAACGGTTACGGAGATAATGGCCGGAGAAGCGTGAAACTTTGACCGGTGTTACACACTTCTTAATTACCAAATACATATTAAAACTGGCAGGAATATGTGGTTTCTGTAATGTTAATAATGTACGTAACATCAAACTAACTTGTGGGTGACATGAAGCCATTAAATTGAACTACAAAGAAACCCGCACGCCATGTCATAGTTGTCATTAAGAGTTCCAAGCACTATACATGACACATGAATGGCAAGCGCTGACGTAAGCAGTAAGTCTGACGTAAGTCTGGCACATTCCTCCTGGGACACCCTGTATATATATTCTTAATACTGGAAATGTTGTTTAATAACCTGTTAACCAGACACCAAGCAGGTTAATCTGGTGGTAGGACTCAAGACCTGTATTCAGCAGTTGCTTGGTTCAAATCTTGATTGCAATGGAAGCGGAGGATTCATTAGTCCTGCAGACTTCCTGTTGATACCTTTTGTGAATGATGCACCAGCGTGACAACCATCCATGTTAGCCTGCCTGTGTAGCTGGCCACTTCCTTGCCTTGCTCACTTTGACCCTGAAGTTAGAGGTGGTGTGTTCCTGCAAAATGCTGGTATCCACTTGCAAGACCACATTGAATCATGACCCTGAAGACTACAGTTTTAATAACTTCCACATTGTAATGATAGTGAAATATTTCGAAACTCACGCATGTTCAATGCAGCCCTAAGGAGTGACGGCAATTCTGTGTGCAGATGAAGCTGAACATCCAGTGTGTACGTAACATGTTGGGCCCGACACAAGTGGTTGGTATGCATTGGTATGATGGAAGGCAGGGGTATGTGGAGCAAGACTGTCCTGTGCTTGCCGTCTGTTACCAAAATGGCTGCATGCAAATTATGCGTGGTGAAAATGATGACAGTAAGTAATCAGTACAGTTTATATAGCAGTAGTCAGTCTCCTCATTTCCTTCATCTTAAGAGGTAGTTGTATTGGTTGAATGTATGAACTGTTAACAGTAAATTTGCCAGATTGTAAGTGTCATCACTTGAGATGGAAAATTTCAGAAAAGGTAACATTTATGTTACATAAAACATGTTACCTGTCTATTTTGTCTAATTGAGCAGGAATATGAACATTGACTAAGAGAATCATATGTAGATTATAAGCAGAAGAGATGAAATTTCTGCAGATTGGTAAGAAGTAAACAAGAACGATGGAGATAGAAGCTAAAAATATGGAGATGAAATTGAGAATACAGTGGAGAGACTGGGTAAAAAAATACACAAAAATGATGATGATAGAGAAAAGTATACTGCACAATGTATGTACTGACATCATGATGTACAGGGATGGTGGTAATGTTTGGAGCATGACTCACTGAAATGTAGCTCTGTAATACACGTACAATATTGCTTGCTAATACATATTGGTAGTACAGTGAACTCCCTATTATCAGGCACATATGGAGAATGGAATGTGCTGGCGACGTCAATCTGCCAGTCGCATGAGGAAAACTTACAGAACCCAATGTTTTTATGATTTTTGCCCCATTTTTAAGGCTGTTAATATTTCAATCTTCCATTTTTGAGTCATAACAAGTTTTTGCTGTAGTTCTTGCTAGTATTCTTAGGTGACACAGCAGATTATTAGTGAAGATTTTGGATATATTGCAACATGGGTCTGGAGCAGGGTCCACTCAGCCTCGTGAGGATAATTGAGGAGCTATTTCAAGGAAATGGCAGCTCCAGTCTAGAAAACCGAAACTAACGGCTGTGGGGATTTGTTGCGCTGTCCATGCGACACCCTCTATCTGCAAAAGTTGGCCCTAACTTTGCTGACAAGTAGCGGTTGCTCAGTTGGTATAGTTCACTTGCAAACTAAAACCACGGAATTTTTTTTATCATAAATTCAACTATCATGTACTCTAATCATGTATCATTACGACTGTAATGACGCTTGTGTGAAGTAGGATGACAAACAGCATTGCTACATGATGGTCGAATGTATGTGCAGCAGAAGTGTGTTTTTGAAATAACTTTATAAAAATGGTAAATTTTCTTTGAAATATCTGTTGGTTGCTTGAGAATTCCAGATGCTTGGATATCAGGTAACCATGAGTTGCTGTATTATATAGGCTTACTCTTAGAATGGTCTTGACTAAATAGCCTTATCTCCATTTATCTGTACATATAATTTCCAGTTAATTAATTTAATTACACAAAGAAGGAATTCCTTTACCTTTTAACATTCGCAGAATGACCATTTCAGCACAGTTGTGTTATTGTTTGGTTATGTAGCTATGTAAGAATATGTGGGTCCACAGTGGAGTACACAATTTTCTGAAATGTCCTTTAAGGATACATCATGTTTTCTGTGAGTGCATTTACAAGAATGCATTAGTATTGAAAGTAATAAGATAAATTTGAACTGTTTTTAAAATATTTTCACTTTTAGGTAACTAGACACAGGGTTTGGATTGATAATTGAATTTATTGAACAGATGTCACTACAAGTAACTATAACATTCTCATGGATGTATGCACTCTACAAATCACTGCACTGCAGCACACATATAGTCTTCTATGTCTTCACCAGTTGTTGCCTGGTAATGGCTTACAGTGATTGCTACTCCTCTGCTTCTGTGCTCACGTCCTTGCTGGATGTCAGCAGGCTTGCAGCTCATGTATGTCGGTAACTTGCTTGTCTTATTGGCCCATGTTGTATAGCTTCAGGATGGACCACACAGAAAACTTTGCCTCCAGCAGCTCCTCTTCTGTAATGTAAAATGTCAAGAGGGGCTGTTGCCTAGTGATGTCCTACAAGTTTGTTGACGCAGGAGCATATTTACCAGCCATCGCCTGGCAGTGGCTGTCTTTTCCTGGTTTCATGTCACAATATGTATGTAAACATGTACTTTTTGTATTTAAGTTCTGCATAAGAAACTTGCTGTTTTCCCAGCACCAATTCTGATTGACACAGGCATGACTGCCGTGTGCTGCCGATGGAACCACAAAGGCAGTGTCATTGCTGTTACTGGTGTAATGCAACTTCCAGGTGACAACAAGGACTGTAATGTGATACAGTTCTTCACCCCATTTGGAGAGGTACATTCAGTATTGCTTGTGTAGTGCAGGGATATCCAAAGTCATGCAACTCATATTGTTCTTAGTCTTTTCTTATAGAAAATAACAGAATAGGTATTCATGTCTGTAAATCCAGAATGTTTGTCACTTATGGTGGACATTCATGTCACTTTGAAGCGATGGACTCAACAAAAAACTTGGCTTACTTTATTGTTGCTTCTTCAGAAACTGTTTGCATTAATTAATGGTATTTGTCAACATAATTTTTTTCTATATTTTTGCAAAGTTTAAGGTTCATGTATTAGTTTGTACTTTCTTAAACTTACATGTGACAAAGGGCTCTGACTTTAAGTGGCAACCATTAATGGCTGGAGCAAAGGAATTAGCTGAAGACTGACCTGTCAGGATGTGTTCCTGCAGAGGGCAGTTAATGTGAAATATCATTTCATTCCTTATACCTTTTGAGCGACTTCATATTAATGTTTTAAACGTTTAAAATCTGGGTCTGAATAATCCAAAATGTCAGTCAGCCCATTAATGTTACATATATCAGTATTTTTTCGTACTTAGTTTGTAAGTGAAAGGTGTATGGCATCATTGTCTCCATGAAATGGGGCAGTGCTAGTACCATTTGGTGTTCATTTCTGTGTATGGGGAAAGCTCTTTTGAAAATTATGTAGCTTTTATTGATTGGTTGATTGGTAAAGCTGTTTCAGTTTATGTAGATTTGGACAGAAGTATGACTATAGTTTTAAGTCCTGTTGTGATTTGCCATGGCAGGTGGTTTCTTCTAGGTTTGCACATTTTCAAAAATAATATGCTGTAATACAGATGTAGTTTTAAATTGTAATGATTTTAATAATGCTTTATATCTTCAGACCTTTAAATGGTGAATGGGTAAAACTTTGGGTCATTTTCAGAGCATTGACCCAGCATTCCCCAAGTAATACTGACAACAACTATAAAAATATCACTAAAGATAGCGAGCAGCCCATTTAAAATTTGAACCAACTGCCTCCTAAAAACAGGTCCAAAATATTACTATGGTTCCAGTTTTGTGGTTCAGCCAATGATAAGTACACTGTGCTTGAAGGCGCATAAATCACTGCGCACTTGAAAGATAATACTAAATCAGTATTAACCTTCATCATCCACCTAGCACACTACTGCTCTGGTGCAAGCAAGAGTCTAGTAGGCCTGGCATCTCAATGTTTACAGTGTATAGTCATATAAAATCACCTCCAAGTTAAAATCTAATTTCATGTCACAGCAGGACATATTGATAGTAATCATGCAAGTGGAGTAATAGTCTTTCCTTTGTTTATTACAGTTTTGTCAAAATTTCAAACTTCATCGTATGCATACAGTTGAAATATTTCTGTGACACCATCTATGAATTTTTAAAGCACACTCTCTCCATTACAGATCCTGCAAATTCACACTTGTCAAACCTCATCGGTAACTATATGTCCGGATTAAAACTTCTCAGGATGTGCTGATTGGTCCTATTTTTGCGTGATGTAAATAGAATAAAACAGATAGTTAATAAATAATGCAGAGAGACCATAAATTTATTATCAGAAATATGAATCAAAATGTAATAATAAGTGCAAACCAAAATCAAATACACAAATAAAGACACATATATAACGAGGTAGACCTGTCACTGTGAGGACAAAATGCAAGGCTTATAGCTCACCAGGGTAGATGCAGTGTAGGCTGACTGCCATCTGGAAGAAGAGAATACATAGCCCAAATCTATTTTAGAAATAGAAACGAGACAGTAATTTGAAAAAATAAAAGAATTCTTCTTCATCACATGCTATCAAAAATAGGTATATCATACATATTAGGTATTTTTTTTACCTATTTTGAAATTAACACATAACAAAATGCACAAAGTAAGTACAACTTCGATTATAACAGAAACAGAACTCTGTGCAAGCAGATTATATAAAAGAGGACAATGCTACCAACTGTATGGTGTCTTTCCCATCTCCAGTGTCATAATTACAAAAAAAAAAAAAAAGTCTGTAATATTAGGTGTGCCATGACCTAAAAATTGCATTAATTTTTATGTTATCTTGGATCTACAAATGGTTGTATTCAGGTGGGTGGTACTAACTCTGTTTTTAAAACAAAGTAACTTGCTTATGGAGGTGGGTGTAAATGTTCCAACTGCCCTCTTGGGTTAATGTACATAGGTCCATGTTTGTGTGTGCATGTGTAAGAAAAGGTGTGTGCCCATTCATTGACATTTGGTCAGGGACCTGTCACATATTTAAGAATAGTTCTATTAGATCATGTTTTCAGTTAAAGAAATACTAACTGCTAAAGCTGTGAAGCTGTTTTCATACTCTGCACTCTAAAGCAGTGTGTTATGTGATCATTGCATTAATTTAAATATTTTGTTTTGTTTTAGTCTTCTTACTTGATTTTTTCCTCAGAGTAAACCACAAACTGTAATACTTGTCAATATGATTTCTTGACAGCATTTGCGGACTCTTAAAATCCCTGGTCGAGAAGTTACCAGTTGTGTATGGGAAGGTGGTTCCCTTCGTGTGGCTCTAGCTGTAGACTCATACATCTATTTTGCTAATATCCGCCCAGATTACCGGTGGAGCTACTTGGAACACACTGTTGTATACTGCTATAACCGACCTGACAGCCCTGGAACAACTGTGGTCTTCTGGGACACTAAAAATAATGAGGTTAGTTCACCAACAGACTCAGGTTGCTGCCAAAATATTGGCTGAGGGACGTGAAGATGTTGCAGTATCAGATGTTTGTGACATGAGTTTCAGTTCATGATAGTTCAGTCAATATACAGGGTGCGGCAGCATAATTTGCTGATTTGAAGGGTCAATAAAACAAAAGACGTTATAGGTATCATTGTAATTATTTTTTCTCCATATTCTACAACATTGGAAATTTGCGTTTACTCTGTTTTGAAAATTTTATTCAACAAGTGTCGCCCCCCATTGGTGATACACTGATTTGCCTGAATTCTGAAGCGTCGGTCGACTCTTTCCAACATAGCGATGGGTATGTTGGCTATGGCTTGGTGAATATTCTCCTTCAGTTGAGCAAGGGTCCTTGGACAATCGGTGTACATGAGGGATTTCAGATACCCCCATAAGGGGGCTATATTGGGTGAGCACGCCGGCCACTGAAGATTGCCCCTCAAAGAAATCAGGCGCCCGGGGAAGTTTTCCCGCAAAACACGCATTGCAGTTCGCGCTGTGTGTGCCATGGCTCCATCCTGCTGAAACCACACATCCCCATCATCCATTTCATCAAGAACTGGCAAAAAAATTCTTCGATCATTTTCAAATAGCGAACAGAATTCACTGTAACTGCAACCTCATTCTCTTCAAAAAAGAAGGGACCAATAATCCCTACTCTCGACAGTGCACACCAAACAGTTACACGTTCACAATGAAGGGGCCTCTCATGAAGTTCTCGGGAATTGTTATCACTCCAGTAGTGCATGTTTTGCTTGTTCACGCATCCAGAAGGATGGAAATGAGCCTCGTCACTAAAGAACACAAGCGCATCATCAGGCAAAGTTTCAAGGAACGCTTCACATGCATGTTGCCGAGCAGCAAAATCACGTTCAGTGAGTTCTTGCACCATAGCCAACTTGTAAAGATGAAAGTGGAGGTCATCATGAAGAATTCGCCTCACAGAACGATCAGACATTCCAAGGGCAGCTGCATGCTTACGTGCCGAGTGCCGAGGAGATCGCAAAAAAGACTGCCTTACTGCCTCGATGTTTTGGGGTGATATGACGGGCCGTTCCCCTAATCTTCTCTTTTCCACACTGCCAGTTCTCCTGAATGTGTTTGCCCACGTAACAATAGATTGCCAATCAAGAACAGGAGCTTGGGCAGAAATATTGAAGTGCGCGTGGAATGCTCGCTGCGTGGCGATGATCGAGCGACCGTTAGAAAAGTAAGCCTCTATGGCAAACGCGCTGTTCCTTCGTTCAACGCATTCTCGGTACTAAAGTGGAAGGAAGAACAAACTTCCTGACCCACCCGTTTGAATGAGACCATCCACACCCTCTAACGGCCAAACCTCGCTTCCTGGCGCCAAATTCAAATCAGCAAATTATGCTGCCTCACCCTGTACCAGACCATTCTAGGGGCTGGGTGACAGAAATCAGGGTTCAGTATCTGGCAAGTGCAAGAGACTCTTCTGTTATCTATACTGCCTATACTGGCTGTGGGGCCTACCCAGCCTCCTATAAAATGGGTGCCAGGGGCTGTTTCCTCTTAGATATAGCAGCAGGAGCATGAGGCTGACCACTTACCTCCATCTAGTGCTGGGGTCAAGAATGGTGGAGCTATACCTCCACTCCACCATAGGTCTTAATGGTGTGGTGCTTAATTAATTAACCCAGGGATAATTTCACCTTACTTTATTTTAGACATGTAACATCTTCAGTTTAATGGGAAGAAAGGTGCAAAAATCTGTCATTTAATGGTAGATTATGTAATGAATACATTTCTTTGAAGTTCAGAATAGGTATTCAGAAACACATTCCAGTAAATGTACCAAATAGTTCTCAGTCAGTGTGAAGCCCATACAATACTGTCCTAATACATTTCCTGAACTAGATGTCATATATCATTCATAGTTCAGTAGTTTCAGTGGGTATTCTTAGCCACCTCCACAGGACAGGGTTTTCCTTGTTCATATGATAACTATTCACTTGATAAAGAAACTGCTTCTTATAGAAACTACAAGATTCATGGCCTTCACAAGAGCCTACCACTAGACCTGCCTTATGACATTTTTGTTTTAGTTCCAAATCTTCATCCCCTGTTTCTCACGAGATCTTCTTTTAGTAGTGTCTTGTGCACATAGATCTTTCTGTCTCTTTCCATGAAGGTTTTCATACATATCTTGGACATATCTTCCTTGCTTTGTCCATGATTTATTCTGACCGTCTTACAGTGCATACATTTATTCACCTTACTCTTCTCTCTAGCACTACATGTTTCAGCACAAAAGTGCCATCTTCAGGTGCTTTTCGTTGTACGTCAAACNTACTAGCTATAATTTATCTCTACCCTTAATTAAATTATTATTATTATTATTGTCGCATCTACTCTTGTAAAGAATATGTATTATCAGGCTGACTTACCATGTCACCAGTGTTACAACAAACCTGTGAAGTCACTGCTTGGAGTGGCATCAGCAGGAGAACATTGTGTGCTGGCAACCAGGGCAGAAGATTCAGGCACTAGTGGGCAGTTTGGACTTATTCTCTGCAATGCTATTGGCACTCCAGTTGACAGTATGTACTATACAATTTCTTTATTAAAACCATAAAAACACAACATATATCAAGGTCAGTGCCTAGTTTGGCTCTGCGACATGTTTCGGCTATTAAAAGCCATCATCAGGCAAAATACATGGCCAACATATACAATACTGAACTGCGGTACTAATAAAATTGGATACAAAAATATTAATTATATTAAAGTACTTGGCATAAAGATACAATAAATTAGATTATATAAAACAAAAGTTATAGTATAAAACAAGACTAAAATTCTTCGATTGATGCTTTACATCATCGAGTCAGTCGTTGGTTTTTGTGATTTTGTTGCATTCCCACGGACAAATTGCAGTATTCTATATTTTGTGTATATATAATTAACTGTTATTGGAGGCTCGTGATGTAGATGTAGTAATATTAATGTTAATTATTTGGTCAATGCCTCATCTTACAAAGTATTGTCCGTTTTGTAAGGAACAGGATGCAATGTAACAGGATGTTTTTCCTCAGTATTATTGAAACTTTCTTTGAATGATTCTGCCCCAGACTATTGACTCCTTAGTACATTCTCAACCATATTCAGTAAAAGACCATTACAGTATGTGTGAGCTACAGCAAGTAGTTCAGTGGCAAACGAGTTTCTTTTAAATGCCAATTTGGTAATGTGAAGTATGGGATAGTTTTGTTGAGATAAACATATTACTGATTAAAGTTTCCAGTCTGTCATAACAGTGACATGTCATGTATGTAAATGATATTTGCAAGTTATAATGCTTATAAGGAACTCTACTACCATGGAAAAAAAGCTTTATGTTTAAATTGACTGTGGTGTAAATGTTCTAGAAGGTTATGTTTCCAGTGATAAGGTGGGATATGAATTCACAGCTGAAGGAACAAAATGTGCTTAATCCAAAATAATACATTGGTTCTAACGGGATATAATTTTCTACTTCCATGTTTGCCATGAAGGCATATCAGGGAGCTTCAAAAGATGGCTCAAATGGCTGTAATGAAATTGGGGTAGACCCAGAAAGCCAACATTATGTATTGATTGCTTTCAAGAATATAAATAACTTCCATGGTACTAGCATTAAAATAAATATTATGATGCACTTAATAATTTTCATTGCCATATTTGAATAATTCATCTTATTTAACTGAAGAAGGTGCACTTAAAATATTATTAAATTTACAGTGAAGTACATGGATATTGAACCGTTGTGGATTGCAATGAACTCATCACATGTATTTGCTGCTTCACGAGACAACTTTCTGTTGTGGCACTACAGGACACCCAAGTCCCGATCAACTCTTATTATGGCAGGTATGCCTCTGAAGTAGTATTATTGGGTTTTGCATATGCATAAGGCAGACAGTTTATAGTGTCACCTAGTCATTTCTTTAAACACCATAATGCCAGTTCAGTTTATCACATTACATGTTCTATTTATAATTGCTAAGAAGTAAAAGTATGTAATGTCATGTGTAGGAATAAAAGCAAATATTTTGTTCCTTTTGCCATCTTCTGCAAAGTTTTTAGCCCTCACAGATTGAATACTGTTTTCTCCATTTTTCATTATTATGTAATAATGACTCAAATTTCTGAAGATTACATACAGTGATACATTGCTGAATGCTGCCATGAAATGTAAATGCAGACATTATGAAATGAATTATAGTCAAATAAATTTATGATATTTGACTTCATTAAATGTTGTAATAGTATGATGAGACTAGCAAGAATTATATTTTAATAATTACTTAATTTAGTGGCCCACTTATGTGGACTGTTTCCCCTGGTACTTCTGCACGAAATCTGTGTCATGTAAATTTGAAGTTCTGCATTATCATCTTATACATAACTATTGACATGCAGATATTTCGTATAGAATTTTTGGGGGTGGTTGTGACCAATATTCATAGAAACTTTGATTTGACTGGGTGCAGTTGCTTATTATTAGCTGTCACAATGAAACTGAAAGCTAAGTATATATTTTGCACACAGTTTTACATTCTGCCATAACTTCACTGACAATTGGCGGTCGCTTGGTGGGTCGGTATAGTTCGCTTGTGGAGTAAAGCCATGGAGTCTGTTTTTTTTTGTTTACATTCTGCAAATCATAACCTTAACAGAAGTTGAACATTTTTCAAAAAGCTATTCCCATGAAATATTTCAGGATGCTATGTTAGGTTGCATTAGTATCACTCACACCTGAGAGTTTTACACAGTTCTCATGTTGGTATTAATGTTGGTAGGAAGTTAAGAATCTCAAAAGTGAGATAACCACTGGTGGTGTGATGTTCATACCAAGTTTTGTGAAAGTTTATCAGTTGGTTAAAAGTTAGTGGGGAGGGACCGACACGGAGATATGGCAATACCATGAGGTTGTTGAGTAAAGAAATATTCCCTGAATGTGTGTTTTGATTTGAATAGTAATTGCAGTAACCATGTTAGGTGGGTCCCTTGTCACCACGGCATGGTGCGTCCTCACGTTGAGGATGGAGGAGACACCCTCCAGTTTTGGAGGGAAGTTGTGAATATATTGAATAAGCAGTCACGGACAGCCGACAAGGGGTGGCCCTCCAGCTTGGGTGTTGGGCGTGGAGCTAACAACTCCTCACCGTAAAAATAAGTATGTTACGAAAATGAACACAAAGCCTCGGACCTGGACGAATTCCTTGGATAAATGACCTAAGCGAAAGAAAATGGATATCAGATTTGGCACTTGGAATGTTCAAAGTTTGTATAGGTCAGGTTCGCTCAGGGCAGTGGCAGAAGAAATCTTAAAATATAAGTTAGATTTAGCGGGAGTACAGGAGGTCAGATGGGATGGAGGTGGCCTCGCACCAGCAGGAGACTATACATTTTTTCTATGCAAAGGGAAATGAAAATCATGAATTTGGTACAGGTTTTTTTGTACATAAGAGAATCGTATCAGCAGTTAAGAGGGTAGAGTTCGTTAGTGATAGTATATCATATATAATATTAAAAAGGTTGCTGGTGTGATATCATTGTTATGAATGTTCACGCCCCAACAGAAGATAAAATTGATGACATAAAGGATAGATTGTATGAAGAACTAGAACGTGAATTTGATAAATTCCCAAAGCACCCTATGAAAATTTGGTTAGGTGATTTCAATGCCAAAGTAGGGAGGGAAGAAATTTTCAAACCAACGATTAGGAATGAGAGTTTGCATGAAATTAGTAATGATAATGGAGTTAGAGTAGTAAACTTTGCCACACCAAAAACTTACTGTCAAAAGTACAGTGTTTCCACATTGTAACATCCATAAATTTACTTGGACATCTCCTGATGGGAGGATACACAATCAAATAGACCATATTTTGATCAATAGGGGATGGCACTCAAGTATACTTGATGTCCGATCATTCAGGGCAGCAGATTGTGATACTGACCACTATCTGGTGGTGGCAAATGTTAGGGAAAGACTGGCAGTGAGCAAACAAACAACACACAGAGTTCAAATGGAGAGGTTCAATCTCAAGAAATTAAATGAGGTAGAGGGTAAAAAGCAGTACGTGTTGATATCTCAAATGGGTTTGCAGCTTTGGAAAATTTGGAAACTGAGGTGGATGTTAATAAAGCTTGGGAAACTATTAGAGAGAATATACAAGTGTCTGCCAAAGAGAGTCTAGGTTGGTATGAACCAAAGAAGCATAAGACATGGTTCGATGAAGGATGCTCAACATTATTAGATCAAAGAAAGCAGGCCAAATTGCAGTGGTTACAGGATCCAAGCGAGTTAAATGGGGATAATCTGAACAATATAAGACGTGAAACCAGCAGGCATTTCAGGAACAAAAAGGGGGAATATCTGAAAGACAAAATTGATGAGCTTGCAATGAACAGTAAGAACAAGAACATTAGAGACATGTATAGAGGAATAAATGACTTTAAGAAGGGTTATCAGCCTAGCAGTAACTTAGTGAAAGATGAGAATGGTGATCTGCTTGCAGATTCCCACAACATTTTGAATAGGTGGAGGAATTACTTCTCTCAGTTATTGAATGTATATGGGGTCAGTGAAGTTAAGCAGACAGAAATACATACAGCTGAGCTGTTAGTACCTGATCCTAACCCTTTTGAGTTTGAAAGTGCTATTGCAAAATTGAAATGATATAAGTCGCCAGGTAGTGATCAAATTCTGGCAGAACTTATTCAAGCATGAGGTGAAATATTAGATTCTAAAATACACAATCTAATTATGTAGGCGAGTCAAATGAAAACCTTAAATATTTTTTTGAGTATTATTTATTATGCACAAGTGGTACAAAGCTATATCACTTTTCAAAATAATCTCCCCCACGCTCAATGCAAGTCCTCCAGCACTTTCAAAGCGCATGAATTCCTTTAGAAAAGATTCTTTTGGTAGTCCGCGCAATCATTCATGCACGGCGTGGCGTACCTCTTCATCTGAATGGAACGTCTTTCCTCCCATTGCTTCTTTGAGTGGTCCAAACATATGGAAATCACTTGGGGCAAGGTCTGGTGAGTATGCCGGATGAGGAAGACACTCAAAATGCGGGTCATTGATTGTTGCAACTGTTGTACAGGCAGTATGGAGCCTTGCATTGCCATGTTGCAAAAGGATGCCTGTGGACAGCAATCCACGTCACTTTGATTTGATTGCAAGCCGAAGATGATTTTTTAGGAGATCTGAGTATGATGCACTGGTGACAGTGGTCCCTCTAGGCGTGTAGTGCTCCAAGATGACGCCTTTTTCATCTCGAAGGAGTGTCAGCATAACCTTCCCTGCTGATGGTTGTTTTCAAAACTTCTTCGGTTTTGGAGATGAGGAATGGTGCCATTCCTTGCTCGCTCTCTTCGTTTCCGGTTGGTGGAAATGAACCCAGGTTTCGTCCCCAGTAACGATTCTTGCAAGGAAGTCATCACCTTCTTGTTCAAAGTGCCGCAGAAGTTCTTCACAAGCATCACTACGTCAGTCTTTCCATTCAGGAGTCAGCTGCCATGGCACCCATCTTGCAGACACTTTGTGAAACTGGAGCACATCGTGCACAATGTGGTCTGCTGAAACATGACTAATGTTTAAACTTGCTGCAGTTTCATTCAATGTTACTCAGCGGTTTTTCCCTCACCATGGCTTCAACTGCTGCAGCGTTCTCTGGAGTCAAAACTCGATGTGCCTGACCCGGAAGAGGAGCATCTTCCACTGAAATCACACCATTTGCAAACTTCCTACTCCATTCGTACACTTGCTACTGTGACAAACATGCATCACCATATTGAAACTTCATTCTTCGATAAATTTCAATAGGTTTCACACCTTCACTACCCAAAAACCGAATAACAGAACGCTGTTCTTCCCTGGTGCAAGTCTCAAGTGGGGCAGCCATCTTATACTGGTGCTGTGACGGTGTTCGTGCATCTGCACTATACTGCAACCTACAGGCCATTCTGCATGCTGTTTGTAGCAAGCTTACCAACTTTTAGGATAATGGCACGAAATTTCGATTTTTATTACAGATTTAAGGTTTTCATTTGACTCGCCCTTGTACTTCTATTTGGCATAAGGAAAAATTGCCTGATCAGTGGAATGAGTCTGTTATTGTACCAGTTCACAAGAAGGGTGATAAAACTGACTGTAGTAATTATCGGGGGATATCACTGCTATCAACTTCATATAAAATTTTATCCAATATTCTTCTCTCAAAGTTAAGTCCATATATAGATGAAATTATTGGTGATCATCAGTGTGGGTTTCGACGTAACAGATCACCTACAGATCAGATCCTTTGCATTTGTCAAATACTGAAGAAAAAATGGGAGTACGGTGAGACAGTACATCAGCTATTCATAGACTTCAAGAAAGCCTATGATTCAGTTAGGAAGGAAGTATTGTACAATATTCTGATAGAGTTTGGGATACCCCTGAAACTAGTTCGGTTGATTAAAATGTGTTTAAATGAAATGTATAGTAAAGTCCCTGTAAGTAAACATTTGTCTGATAAATTTCCTATCCAGAATGGTCTAAAACAAGGAGATGCTTTGTCGCCACTCCTTTTCAATTTTGCTTTAGAATATGCCATTAGGAAGGTCCAGGGAAACCAGGTGGGACTGAAATTAAATGGGACACATCAGCTGTTGGCCTATGCCGATGATGTGACTCTACTGGGTGATAATGTAGATACCATATAGAGAAACACATAAACTTTAATTGACGCAAGTAAAGAGGTTGGTCTAGAAGTAAACACAGAGAAAACTAAGTATATGTTACTGTCTCATCACCAAAATGCAGGGCAAAATCATGACATAAAAATAGGAAACAGATGTTTTGAAAATGTGGCACAATTCAGATATTTAGAAACAATGATAACAGATTGAAACCTGATATAGGAGGAAATTAGGAGGAGATTGAACTCGGGTAATGCTACCATTCAGTCCAGAACCTTTTGTCTTCTCGTCTGCTGTCTAAAAACATAGAAATTAGAACATACAAAACTATAATTTCGCCTGTGGTTGTGTATGGGTGTGAAACTTGGTCTCTGATATTAAGGGAGGAACATAGACTGAGGGTGTTTGAGAACACGGTGTTGAGGAGAATATTTTGATCAAGGAGAGATGAAGTAACGAGAGGTTGGAGAAAACTGCATAATGAGGAGCTTCATAACTTGTATTCTTCTCCAAGTATAATTAGAATGATCAAGTCAGGGAGGATGAGGTGGGCAGGGCATGTAGCACGAATGGGGGAAACGAATGCGTATAGGATATTGGTGGGAAAGCCAGAAGGAAAGAGACCACTGGGAAGACCAAGGCGTAAGTGTGTGGACAATATTAAAATGGATCTTAGAGAGACAGGATGGGATGATATTGATTGGATTGATCTGGCTCAGGATAGGGGCCAGTGAAGGGCTCTTGTGAACATGGTAATGAACCTTTGGGTTCCATAAAATGCTGGGAAATTCTTGAGTAGCTGCAGAATTGGCGGCTCCTCCAGAAGGGCTCAGCTCATTGAGTAAGTGAGTAAGTAAGTAATTGCAGTAATGTCCAAAGGGAATAAAAGGACAATATTTTATGCATTCTTTTAAGTAGATGAAAGTGAGGCCTGTATTATAGGTGATTAAAATTATGGAATCAGAAAAATTGTGGTATACATGTTTTATTTCTGTTGTAGTGTACAATTTACACAAGAGATATTGGTGGTAATGAATGCATGTAACTTGTAATGAAACTTCATCAGATATCATGAAATAAATTAAAAATGTGTATGAGTATGGAGTTTACTGATATTCTTTTGTGTGATTTTAGGTTCACGGCTTCGCAAGGAGAGACTCTACCATATTGATGATACCCCATCTGGTGTTGCAGAAGTAATACAGGATCTTGACAGGTCCTATGAGGTAAGTAGAACCATTAGTATGGCTCCTTATTTTCTTAATCCACACAAGTTCTTACAATGTGCTCCTTCCCCCAGCAAGACTGGTTGTTTTTTGATTATGTGGATTATAGTTTGTTTATGATTTTATTTAACAATATTTACACCATTCCCAAACTTTCTATAGTGTAAATCATATTTTATTAAAGTTATCAAAAAATTGTATATAATTAATATCTGAATGGTTTTTCTGAAATATTTTTGACCTTTATTTACCAGGGTGAGTGTAAAATGTCATGTGAATACTCAGGTGATGCTCTCGAGTAGCATATAAATCATAAATGTGTATCCCTTTACTTTTTCTAATAGTTACTTCTAATGTAAAATTTGTGGAATATCTGATAAAGGATTTAGAGCCACAACACACCTCCAGGCTGCTAATTTATTTAACAACACTCTCTCAGTTGAGTGGTTAAAATATCATTAGATGGGAGAATGACTCTGAATAATGAATTGGGGCAGAGGTAATGAAATAGTCATGACCTTCTTTATTGTACTATCACAGCGTTTGCATGGAGTGGCTAAGGGAAACCATGAAAACCATGGTCAAGGTAGCCTGCTTCTGGACTATTAATGGAACCTGGGACCTTTCAAATGTGAAAGGATATTGCTTTGTGTGTAGAAGTGCAATATTTATGAACAGTTTTGTGCATTATGCATCTAATGATAAGATTTATTTTCACAGTGTTTCTAGAAATATGGAATATGGCATTTTCAGTTGTAATTTTTATTATTTTGTTGCAAGTAGCCTACGACCAATATGCAAGCAACTGCTGATCCAATTTGCTGCTTAGGTGCATCAGAGAAAGCACTCATTATCGGACGTGAATCTGGGGCACTACAGCGTTACTCCCTGCCTCAAGTGGCCCTGACTAATCGTTACACCCTGAACTGTCGTCCATACAAGCTTGCTATTAACTGCAATACTACGTAAGTGCAGTGCTCTTTTGAACTTTTCATAAACAAGATCAGTTTTACATTTACAAAATGTATTTGGTGCTTGAATTTAAAGTGAAACACGGTATTAGTTGGACTTTTTTCTGTACATTCTTTGCATGAACTGCATAAAACAAATGCATGATGATGCCATATGAGTTGTTAGGTGATTTTAATTTTGCATTATATGAGTACATTATAGTGCCTATGTTACATGAAGCTCAAAATGAACCTTATGATTGTTTTCAAAATTTGGTTCATTGTTTTCATTGTGTAATATGAAGCACAGTTCTCAGTAAGACTTGTGAAATACAAGGACTAGTAATTTCAGGCTTTGTGCAGTGTAATGTCTGTCAAATTACCACTTACATATTGAATTTTTATCTGCAGTAAATGAACATTTAGACCATTTAGTTATGCAGTCACAGAGAATACGTTTGGGAAAATTTATGTGGTGTTGTAACACAGGCTCATTTTGTGGAGTATGCGAATACAGTGCTGTTAACTAGTGTTGAAAGGTTTGTAAGATAACATCATATATTGAATCTTCTGGGTCCATACATTGGAGTTGCATCTCATGAAGGGTTATGTTCTAAATCAGGTATAGTCAGAATTACCCTTGAAAATCCCTTAATTCACTCATGAAGCTCATGCTTTTTATATACACTATAGTGTGTATATATATATATGTACAAGTGAAATGTACAGTAACTTTATTTTTAATTATATATATAAGAGAGAGAGAGAGAGATATTGAAAGAATCGCCCACTGTGAGAAACGTCATACTAGAATGCAACTGGCGATCTGCCAGTGGAAGACCTGAACTACATGGTAGACTATCAGGAGGTCACTAGGGTGTAAACAAAACTGTGAATAAGGTTTGGCAAAGGTTCTGCTGGCTCCAGGCAAGAGGCGATATTGAGAGATGGTGCCGACTGTGAATTCTGCACAGCAAGTTGCGGCCCCCAGTGAATCAGGGCCAAATGCACCAGTACAATGTTGGGGCACCGTCTGAGAGGACAGCCATCGATGTAGCAGGTCCCCTTCTGTGGCGCGACCAAGGAAACTGGTACCTCCTGATTGCTATGATTATTTTACAAAGTTGCTAGAAACATATGCCATTTATCACTGTTTATGTGGTTGTCCCTGCGAGTGTTGACACCCCGCAGATACTTAGTAAAGGATCTCTAGGCCAGTGTTTTCTGTTAGGTGGATACGTGCCATGCCGGACAAGAAGCTTTCCATAGCAAGAGACAGAGAGTGGTGGGACCAAGAGAACTGATTCATACAGTAGCAGTACACGTTGTACTTATATGTGGGAGATGCCTCATTTCATTTGCAGTCATTTTACTGGCTATCCTGATGAGATTTCTCGTAACTTTTCTCAGTATGTCAAGGTGAATATCACAATTAGCCACAAGTACCTTCTCCAAATTTCTGCCTATCATCATCCCACCTCATTTGATGCTGCATAATCTCTGCAGTTGGAAGACAACTGTTATTTTATAGGTTATTCAGTCTAAGAATTAGTCACTCCTTCCATTGCCTCTTATCCAGTATGCATAAAATCAGACTCTGGAATATTGATGTTTGTGTTGTTACAGTCGTTTGTCAATAATTGACGTGACAGGTGTATTGACATTTCTGGATTTGGAATCTCCGTTGCTTTCTTCATCCAGTTCATTGCCAGGGCCAGGAGATACACTGAATATCTCGCTAATGGGCAATAACAACAACAAGGAGCTGTCAAAATTTGAAAGAAAGGATGTTTGGGCCATGAAGTGGGCTTCTGATAATCCTGAGCTGCTTGCCATCATGGAAAAGACGCGCATGTATGTCCTGCGAGGTCTTGAACCTGAGGAACCCATACTCAGCTCGGGTTACATCTGTTCTTTTCGGGTAAGATGGGGAAACAATGATAGCATTTGGAGATGAAGAAAATACTTATAGTGACCTCTGAAAAGAAAGATTCCAGGTTTTAACCCCCATAACAGACATTATACACAGGGTGTCCCACGAGGGAAGGTTACTGTTCTAGGACGTCATAGTATCAGTCATTCTAAGTAAAGATGTGTGCTATTCTGAATGGTTTCCAAGGAAGAGCTGTTTCACTATACAGTAGTTTGGATTCTTTGCCCAGTGTTCTCCTTCCTTCCCTCATGTGATATAGTGTGAAGCTTCAGTTAGTCATTGTGGATGTTGAAAGTGACATTGTAGGAGTGTTGTGAAAAATGCTGCACAACTTCACAAATGCCAAATATGCTGATATGCTCTATGCTGTCCTCACGCAGGTTGCAAAGTGCTTTGATGTTAATTGTTGAATTTTTGAAATATTATACTATGTAGACTGTAAGCGGCCTCCGTAGTCTAGAAGTAACGTTCCCACCTCATGACTCGTAGTACGCGGCTTCAAACACCCGGCGGAGGTTATCGAATTTTTAGAAAAATTCAGGGAACAAGTCCTCCGGGAGGGACTTTAAGCCGTGGGTCCCATGTCGTAGCTTTACGGCACGTAAAAGAACCTCATATCTCCAAAGGAGGTCACTGAGCCAAATTAACGGACGTTTCGCGCCCAACAGCAGTCTCTAATACCTCTGGTAGATGGGGGAAGCATTATAGATACCTCTCAGCTAGTAGAGCCGGTCTCGCTGGCTGGGCGGGACTGATGGTAAGCACCAGTACCGGTAGGGTATAGAGACTGGTAGAAATCATAGAGGGAAGCACAATGGACCAATACAGGTCTCAGTGCATGGGGAAACCCACCCTCTCTAACTAACTAACTAACTAACTAACTGTGTAGACTGTACCAACTTTATCACCTGAACAATGAATATTGGTATTAGAAACAGTACTTAATCTCTCTTTCTAATCAACAATTTTGGAACTGCAGTGAAATAGCTATATATTGTAAACCGTTCAGAATAGGTCACATGTACGTATACTACACTTTCTTTAACTTGGTTCATCCTGGTTCATCACACTAGTAATTGTATATAAGATTTTTAATCACTGTCCAGTATGATTGATAAGAGTTGTGTTTTTAATTTTTCGTCCTTTGCGTGTTTCAGTGAAAAGACCATTTTCAGAAGGATATTATCCACATATATGGAAACTACTATTACCATGTCACAGATATAAGTATTATATCTTTTGACTAATGCTAAGATATACATTGATTTGTTAAAATATCTAAAAAATATTACAGTAAGTCTGTTTACAAAGTAGTATACAATATTTGTTCTAATCTAGAACCCATCAAGGCTATTTGAGATGCCGCATTGCTTGAAACTATTTTCTACCAATCCGGGGGAAATACATTCTCATGCTTCCTTTATTCTTTACTTTTAATTCTTCACTCACCTTGAAGTATAATAATCACATTACCATTTGTACTCATTTTTCCATTCAGTATTACAATGTAAAACTGACTTTTACTGGTGAATGAACTGAGATGAGCTGCACCTTTGCAAGTAACAGTGACATATGTGAGTATGAGAGCTAACAGAGGAGTGGGATGTGTCAGGGTGCTAAATAAGTAGTGCTGTTAACTTTGATGAGAATAAGCTGCACACCCCACCTTTTTACAGGATTTTTGCTGAAGAATGTGCACGGGGTATTCTAGAAAATATGATAATCTGTTCAGTATTAAGTTTTTTATCAACAATAGCTGTCTAGCAACCATCTTTGGTAACTAGAACTTGTTGTTTAATACCAGGAACTTGAAATCAGAGCAGTGCTGTTAGATGAAATAATGGAGAATCCAGAACACCCAACAGCAGAGTACCTGCTGGATTTAGAGGTCAAGTCCCTAAGGGATACACGTGACTTGCTTGAGAAAGTTGGAATCGCAGAGGCTACTGCCTTCGTCAAAGAGAATCCACATCCCAGACTTTGGTAAATGTCTAACATTTAGAACTCTACATGAAAATTATCTGGTAAGGTAACAAGAATGTACCCTCACACCCTGCTTAGTCCTTCCTGTTCATTTCTTAATGTTCTGTGGATACTGTATTTTAATTAATAAAATTATGATTGTGACATTTGCATGAGTAGTGTATGATGCAGAATGTGTGTGAATAGGACAGAAGATAATTTTTTGTTGTCCATGCGTTTAGATTACTGTTTCCTCTTTCCTCTATTAAACCATGTGTAATGGACATAAGCCAATGAGGTGGTAAAGAAAGACTGGGTAATGTGAAGTTTTTTTAAGTTCTCATGGTGGTGGTTATGAACATACCAGTTTCTGGGATAGCATGCCATGTAATGTTGTAGATCTTTATCAATGTCTCTAAGGAACCTGCTGCTACTGTCTTAAAGGTGGAAGAGTGGGCCAATCATGGAAAGCAGTAGTACTTGAATTTATTCACTCAAGGCACTGATACTATCCTCTTGTGTACATCCATACCACTTCTTTCCACCCTTGGCTTACCCTTTGACCCTGAAAATGGGGGGAGCAGATTCCTACAAACTGTTACTAGCAAAATGCCACTACATGATGTCACATCCCCTTCAGGAGAGGGGAACTTCTAACATATATACATATGTCACGATTTAGGGGTGCGTGACTATGGCCAGTGTATGGATTTGATATTAGATTTATTGACCACTTGTATACATTACTCGCAACTGTACTTTACAGTTCACTGACACACACAGACTAGTGTCCTAAGTCTATTAGTCTCCACTAACCATTTCCTGGCAATGGCTTCTACCTGTGGTGATTCTTCAGCTTCTTGCACTCATGTCCTCATGTCACAGCTGCCCATGCAGAACTCAACTAAGTGGGTTCCAGGCTGCTGGCCAGTTCACACCAACCTCCTAGTATTCTGTCCCCAGGCTGACTTCCAGCTGACAACTGAACTCTTTCACTCACCAACCAACTACTGTCATGCTACTTTACTCAGCTGAACTGCCGACAACTTCTGCTCCGGAACTCTACTGACCCTGCTTATAACATTTTGGCACAAACCACACAGAAAACACCGTTTCAGTTGTTATAGTCTAACAGTACCTCGACCGTCGCATAGAAATGGGTGTTTGTTTATTTGTCTATTGCATGGCAGTGGCTCTTGTTTACTGAGTCACTGCTTAGCAACAGGTCTGTATGCCACAGTATTTTAATATCAATTTTCAAGATCCTGTTGTGCATTCCACCAGTACTGTTCCCATCTGAGAAGTCCACGTGATTGCCATGTCGGGATTGTTTAACATATCTGGGATCAGGGTAACCTTGAGGTGCCTTGTAATTTCTAGGCATAAACATTTGTTTAATTGTGGAGATAGTTATTTGTGTTTTTATGGTGTAATGAGCTAGGATAGTTCTATAAGTAAATTGACTGGCTGTGGGCTGGATGAGTGCGACACAGTTTCTCTTTGCTGCCTTGTCCTGACTGGTTCTTTGGTTCCTCTGGAATCCTGCTTGTGTCCTTTTCCTTGCAGGTAAACACCCAGGGCAAGAAGGTGATCACCCCATCTTCATTTAGTGTTTAGGTTAAAAATGCTTTGAGCTTTATCTCCAGTCCCCTATATGTGTTTATTATATGCATTATAGGGACAACATTACTTAAATATTATTTGTAATATACAGTGGAACCTCGCTTAACGAGCATAATTCGTTCCAGAATCATACTCGTAATGCAAAACGCTCGTCAAGCGAAACAATTTTTCCCATATAAATTAATGTAAAATATGATAATGCGTTCCATGCTGAAAAAAATACTCAAATAATTTTATGTATAACGTTTATTCAAAGAAAATTATATATATATACATTGTTAAGGGGCGTGAATCATCTTCATCTTTTCTTCTACCAACCTCAAATAATTTTATGTATAACGTTTATTCAAAGAAAATTATATATATACATTGTTAAGGAGCGTGAATCATCTTCATCTTTTCTTCTACCAACCTTGAATGTGAATTCGATTCGCAGAAAAAAAAATCGAAATAATTAGTTTATTATTTATGATACATATCTAATTCTTTTTTACTAGAAAGTTGTCTAGAGACATTTGTTTTTGCCGACACTTCAAAATTTGGTGAAAATGCGACACAGCAATAAATTTGTCATGCGCATAGCCACTGCCTTATTAGGGTGATGCTTCTCAATGTACTTTGCAACAGTTTCCCA